CCAGCCAGTCTCGGGTTTGTGCTCTGTGAACTCTCAGGGATTGCACCTCCGTCCACGCGGGGAGGCTCGCTTGCTAAGAAAGGGAACTAAAAACCAGTAGCCCAGACTTCTGCCTTCTTCGCTGGCCTTCCACCCACCTTGTGTGTTCAGGGGAGATGAGTCTGGCTTCCTCCTCCTGAGGGCTGGATCCCACTTCTCAAGCTCCCCCAAAGCCCCCTCTGGGTTTTTCCCCATGGTTCTCTGCCCGAGGCAATGGGGGATTCTCATTCTGCCCTGAAGATGGTGCTAGGTTTGCCTGGCTGCAGCCTGAGCTCAAAATTCAGTGTAGCCCCCCAGGAGAAGCTAGCAGGTGCAGAACCCCATTCTGTCTTGCTAGCCCCCCTCTGCTGGGCTGTTAGGTGTTTGGCAGTCATGTTCTTCTCTGGGTTGATACTTCTCCCACCACCACCTTCTGTGTGAGTCTCCCGGGGCTGCCATACAAAGTACCACAAACTGGGGGGACAAAAACTGCAGGAATCCTCCTGTCTCAGTTCCAGAGACCAGACACCTGAGATCGAGGAAAGGGCAGGGCACTGCTCTGTCCTGGGGCTCCAGTGGAGGGGCTCCCTTGCTGTACCCAGAACACAGGATGTTCCTTCCCTCCCCTCCTTGTGCCACATGCCCACCATGCCACGGCTGTCTGTGATGTGTCCAGGAAGCCCTTGGGGCTTCTGAGTTGAGCTGCTATTTACCAGGAAGGGGTGGTGGGTGTGGGGAGGGGTCATACTGGGAGACTTCACGACTTCGTAGTTTCCACACCATCTTTCCTTGTTTTTCTAAGTATTCTGTACACTTTAGAGGGGGCCAGACTATGCCACGCCAGTGTAATCATCAGACCAGACTGTGATCATCAGACCAGACTGTGCCACGCCAGTGTGAATATCAGACCAGAGTGTGCCACGCCAGTGTGAATATCAGACCAGACTGTGCCATGCCAGGGTGATCCTCGGACCAGACTGTGCCATGCCAGGGTGATCGTCAGACCAGACCGTGCCACGCCAGTGTGATCGTCAGACCAGACTGTGCCACGCCAGTGTGATTATCGGATCACCTTAACCTATGCTAATTGATGCCGCTTCATGATGCAGCCCCTTTAGAGGAAACATGGCATGCTGAATTTGTCATAGGTCAGACAGTTCCCCATTCAGCTCCCTCTGAAGCTACATCCGCTTGCATTTCTCTTCATCATAATGGAGGAAACGCACACTTCTTTAAATGTGACATTCAAAAAAGCCCCGAAATCCCCAATCCAATGGCCTTATCCTCAGCCCACAGGAGACACATGCACGATTATGCCAGGATCACTGTTTCCTTAACTTGCTTTCCACCTCTGTGGATTTACCTGTTTCAGATGTTTTATCAAACAAAAAAATGATACAACATTCTGGCCTCTTGCATCCACTGATTTAGTCACATTCTCTTCTGTGCATTTCCACAGACCGAGTTTCCTTTTTTCCGTTTACATAAATTTTGGCTGACCCTAAAATACAGGCTGCTGGGTTTGGTGTATCTGAGTGAGCAAGTCTGATTTAGAAATTCTCAGGTTTAAATAAAGCCATGGTTTCAATGCGGGCTTCTCAGATTAGACACACAAGCAGGAAACACCCAACCAAAGCAGAATCTGACATTCGGGTCCAGGTCCGATCTTAAATATTTCTTTTCTTTCCTTTTTTTTTTTTAAAGACAGAGTCTCAGTAGAGTGCTGCAGTGTCACAGCTCACAGCAACCTCCAACTCTTGGGCTTAAGTGATTCTTTTGCCTCAGCCTCCCTAATAGCTGGGACTACAGGTGCCTGCCATAATGCCTGGCTATTTTTATTTTTTGGTTGTAGTTGTCATTGTTTGGCAGGCCCGGGATGGTTTTGAACCTGCCAGCTCCAGTATATGTGACTGATACCCTAGCTGCTGACCTACAGGTGCTGAGCCTGGCTCTGAAATATTTTATTTCTGAAATGCTACGGGGGACAACAAGGGTGTGGGTGGACCCTACTTGAGGAGCATGGGTTTAGGGCTCCCTGACGCCTGGGGGACATGTCCCCTTGCTGCACTTGTGCATAACATTAGGACAGGTCATGGTGCCCTTGACACCTGCAGGTGCCGACTGCTTCCTTCCCTCCGCTGAGAACACAGCTGTTAACACACAAGGCCCCTGTGGGTTAGTCAGTGGGGGGCCCCTTCCTGCAGTGATTCCAATTTCCTGCCCTCGTCCTCACTGGTTATAAGCAGCAGAAAAAGCAGCACCCTGGTGACTTAGCATGTCCCACAGAGTAAAGGGAAGCTGCTTACCCCATGGCGGCATCTGGCCGCTCACCTTGAACTTGCCTCTCTCTCCTCCTTTCCCTGGGACTCCGGCATCCAGTCGCCTCTCTCTGCCTCTGCTCCGAAAGTGAGCACACTGATTCCAGGGCAGTGAAGTTTCTCCTTCAATTCCTCCTCCTCCCTCGGGGGCTTCCTCATTTTGTGTCATGTTGGGAAATGCATAATCATCAGCACATTCATTGCCTTTCAGCTCAGCTCCAGAGAGCACAAACTGGGTAGCACAGGTGTGGTACACACACACACAGAGACACACAGACACACACACGCTGCTGCGGTCTACAAAGGCCTGCAGGAGCCAAGCAGAGATGGCTTGAGATGCAAACAGGTGAGACACGTACAAAGCAGGGGGCTCCACACACACACACGATTAAAGATGCTGCCGGGACAGTGACAACACCAAAGGTGACGGGTGGCTGCACAGACTGTGCCTCCATGGTCCTGTTCTGGAAGGAACTGTGTCTTCCAGTTCCTCCTCTTGAGTCAGGAGAGCAAATCTTGATGCTATCCTTGTTTTTTTTTTCAGACAGATTCTCACTATGTAGCCCTGGGTAGAGTGCTGTGGCGTCACAGCTCA